TTTATTGTATAGAATACATATGCATGATACGATACAGAAATTAAGTCGTTGATGAATAGGTAACAATTTGGCTGTCTGCCAGTTTGTTTCGTATCTTCAGAGGAAAATTATTCATTATGGCAATGCTAATGTTTATTATATGTTGATACTTTTCTTGAACACATCTCTTCAGGAAATTTGGAGCTCCAAAATATTTTAGCCGCCTATTCCTCTGTTTGCAGTTATTTTGTCATAAATACTTCAGGGGTTTCTTAAATCAGTTTCCGGTCATATCACATATTAACTTGTATTTTGTGTCTTTTGTGTGACGTTTTCCTAATACGCAACTCATGTTTTCACTCTATTTTAGACACGCGGACCTAGGATAAAAATCCATTACTTGTATATGAAATCTCGTCCTTGTTGGTGTAGACAAGAAGCCATTTTTGATATATATCAAATCACATAACCTACATATATTTTATTTTCAATTTATTCAATTACATTTATTAAAAAGTTTATTTACTTAAGTAAACAATCTTTAATGTAATTAAGATGTTTTTCACAGTAACGGCTATAGAATATCATATTCTATAGAAATTATGGAAACTATTTGTATTATTGTAAAAGCGAGCTACTATAGGCGAGTCGATGAAAATTTACATTTTTTTCTTTAAACCATCCTTAGTTTGTATACATTTAATTTTGTGTTATATAATATGTGTGTAGATTCAGAGGCTGGCAAAATATAATTTCATTCAACTCATTTTATTAATTAATATTCTCTATTAAATGTATTGTAAAATTATTATGTAACGAAATCACTTCTTTTCAGTCACATGTGATAGCTCTTAAACAACGCTTTACGCTTTGGTAAACAACAACTGTAACAGTTACTGCCAATGTGTCCCTCAGAGTACACAAGGGGATGGGACAACAACATACACATGGATTAACGTGTCTTGCCCTACTGGTTTGCTGTTCAATAACGGCACTCAGTATTGCGACTGGCCGGACAACGTATCATGCAGTTAATAAAAAATCATTCGGACTCTAAAAATTATTGCTTCAAATATACACCTTTTCTCATAATATAATTTGATGCATACATTAAGCAGTAACCTCTCTTATTTGTATTAATCAATCTGAAACAAGAGCTGTATCAGTAAACTTTTTGCATGTAGTGTTACTTTTTTTACTTTTGTTGTCCTTTCGTTTATTAAGATCCTTTCTTTTGTTAAAATCCTGTTATTTATCAAGATCCTGCATATTGACTTAGTACGCCAATTTACATTTTGGCATGCTGACGTCGTAAGACGTTGTTTCCTATAAACAACTGTACCCGATAAAGACGTTTTGGCCGAAACGTCGTGTTGTTTTTAATAAACAATATATTTTTGAATTGATAACGAGAAAGTTGACATCTATATTTTCATGAACATAACGTTGTCCTGTGCATTGTTTCATTGATGTTTCTTCTTTCTATGATAGTTATATACCAATGTCGACAAGGTCTTTATAGTAATTATAAGAATTTATCACATACAAATCGCTTATTTGCCGACTCTTACGGCCGTGCATATATTTTGACGTGACGTCACTTGCGTTATAAAAACATTGTAAAACGCGATAAATGTTCGCCTTACACTATAGGCGCGTCAATGAAAAATAATTATTTTGCAATTTAAACAGTCTTTATTTAGGGAATGATATTGTGATAAAAAGAAAATTATATTCGTTTAGGTTCATTACTGAATTTATTGAACTCATTCATTAAATAATATTTTCCTAGCAAAAGGCTTGCACGAAATAATTTTATTCAACTCGTTCTTTCAATTCAATGTTGAACCTACAGTATCGCATGGAATAATTTTATTCAACTCATTAAATAAATTCAATATTGAACTTACACTCAATAATATACTCTATTCATGCAGCTTGCACGCATTCAATGACTGACAGTGGGATGCTTTAAGATTCGCGTTCGAGGACACTTGCCCCAAGTAAATATCAATGTATTTGCACAAATAATGTCATATATATATATACATCGGTGAGGAACAATTTTTTGTTGTTGTTGTTTTGTTGTTAAATTTTATTACCATTGTAAAGGTCATATGGTGACTTTCAAGCTACATACTGGTGAAGGAAGACCTCAGGTGTCTCTCAGTGCATTATTATATGTACGAACGAGCACCAGAGTAGAACCACCGACGTTTCGTTATCTTGCTGGATAGCTTTCTCACATGAAATGATCCGTAAACCCTGGCGAGGAGTGGCATAAAGGTTTTATAATATCAATTAAATCTTTATATTTCTGTACAACATAAAAATATATAGACATACTTGTATAACGTTTCAATTCGTATTTGTTTATTGAAAGAAACAATGAATTTTAAGTAAAAATAAAATGGTATTTATAAGTTTATTCTTACATTGTTTCTCTCAGAAATAATCTTTGCTATCTATTATACATAATATATTATTGTAAATAAATCAAAAAGACTACAGAGTCCATTTCCATAGTGATTTTTCATAGCATAAGGTTCAATTCTAACTTGCTTCACAGTATTCCGTTGCGTTCATTGAATGCCACCTTTCCGTGTTGATCTTGTTTACCATATTCCATACTCTATCAAATAGATAGGGCAGTCAATCGATTATTCAGCATAAACAATGAACTCTTACACGTCATATGACGTCAACAAACCAAATGACGTCAGGAAAATTACTTCTACGCTATATGTATTCGATATATTTTTTATAAATTATCTTTTTTAATTAGCATCTTAGAATGGAAACAAATGTATTAATTGTTCGGCCTTCGTGATTATATTCTTATGTATTTGAAACTACAACAATGTACTTAGAATTGATATCTGTTTTCTGAAAAACTAAATACAGTCTCATCAGTCTTGCCAGCATATCTATGAGCTATCTTTCTCAATTTAATTTCAAAATCTCAGAACATATCTATGTAATCATACATGTGATTCTCTTTGAGATTTGCTTTACTCCTTGGACCTTTAAGAATATTATATGACATCTTTTATCATGTATATTATCCTTTAAGTATATGCACTGAATTAACCTTATTTAAAAATACGACACAGCAAATCCGTAGACATACCAATATGATCTAGAATAATGTTGTTAAAGCAATGCAACTACACAATTGTATAACATATATTGTTTTCAATTGTATGTAAAGAGGTAATTTTACCTTAATTTCACATGTACTTGGTACTTTTAATAATAACCATATGTTTCAAAACGAATTAAGAATAACACGGTACCCACCTATTATCTCTGACAAAAAATTCTGGAAATTATGCGGTAATGGTCATCTCTTTGGGCCTGCGGCCTCCAGGCCATTATCTACATCTTCGGGCCATTATCGTATAGCAGTCCATGTTTGTACCTCTAAATCATGATCAAAAAGACATCATTTGACCTTATCACTCATCATAAATTGTACAGCCAAATGATGAACCAACTTGTATCATGTTAGTTAGCGTTTTACATACTCATTGAAGGAAAAGACCGAAATACATATACTAGGTATTTTGTTCAAACTTTATTCAGTAGATAGTACATGTATATACACAATAGAGAAATCGAGCACTTAACAGTTATAAATCCGAAAAAAAAAAAATTTGTAACTTTTGTTTTCAAAACAAATCTAATATTTTAAAAATGAAAGTTTGAAAAAGAAAGCTCACAAGGCATCAGAATGTACCTCTTAGATTTAAAGCAATAAAATACTTCCAACATACATGTATCTATTTTATGTGAAATTCAATTTTCAAATTTTAGTAAACACAAGGAAACTTTAAGTTAGTGTTGTTTAAATTATTACGTATATAACTATTTAGTGAATATGTTTATAATATACACTTTTAGATGAAATATGTAGACATATTGATGAAATAAAACACGTATTTTAGTTTTCTGTTGTTTTTCACTGCAGTGCAGCATATTTTCCTTATTTTCACTGGTGTCATGCCCGGTTCTTTTTCTTTAAAGCCCATACCTGTGTGGGTAATCTTTCAAAATTGTATTGTAAAAAATATAAGACCAATGTATATAATAAACAGAAAATTCTTTTTCTTTTCTATAAATACAGGCTTTGCTTTCATTTTATTTATAGAAAAAAACTTAAACATCCTTTATACATTATGGAAAAAGCTTGATACATGTCAAATATATTTTATTGCTAACATTCACAAACCCTTTCCTGCGCATATTGACTTTAAAACAATTTACATTCAATGCATTTTCTAAAATCAATGCAAATTGAATCACATGTTCAAAGATGGACTAAATGGTCAAATTTAAAAGTATATATTGGTACATTTTGTTTTAAATAAAATACCCAATCTTCTGGTTTGAACTAAATTTTTGATTAGAATTACAGTGTTTTGGGGCAATTTTCTTATCTTACCCGGTATCTTTGAATTAATAAACTACAAATGTCCCAAAACCATAAAGCAAAGTTGGGGAACTTTTAAAGTCCATCAAAAAAAGTGTCCGTTTTAAAGCTGCATGTCTCCAGATGAGTCAAAATATTTCAAATAAAATCAAAACTTGAGAAAATAAAGTACTACAATTTTAGGAAATCGTAAAATGGTTAAGATTCAAGTAATATTGTGCATGTTATGTGCGGTTAATGACTGATTTTTTTAGTATTTACAACTTATTTCTACTGCGTTACAGTAACTAGTAAACGGCAGTAAGGGCTATTTTTATGCATAATTTGATCACTTTTTTTTGGTAATTTTACATGGCCCCTTGTAAAGGTTTTTGCCCATTTGATAATTTGGGGGGGTTTTTAAAAATGGCTTTCCTTTTGGGTTATTTACAAATTATAACATTCAAATACATTTTCAAAATATTCATGAAAATTAGCTTGAATCTGGAGGCGTGCTGCTTTAAGACGTCTTCATCATTATCAAGAAGTCGTTGTCACTTCTTGTTTTTGATATATCTCTTAATCATGTGACAGAGAAAAGAAAAAAAATAATATTAAAAAAAACACAGACCTGCTCATCATCATCCTACAATAAACATCTACTTGAAAATATTTATCTTTAAAGCAAACGCTAACAAGCCAATGATTTCATAAATCAACCAAGAAAATCAACTGTTCTTTTTGTAACTTCGCCAGTTGCTTTGTCAACAACTTTTACTTCAATCTCTGTGCCTCCAAAAAGAAATGTTGTTCCAAACTTTCTTGCTTTGCCTAACGACGTGTCAGGAATAGGAACAGTGAACTTGCCAATCCTACTGCATTCTGGATCAGTAACAAAAACTGGATTTGGGTTTGAAGAAGCATATATCTCTTTGCCTATTTTTGTTTGTGTGTCATAGATAGGGGAAGATGTAGCCTCTTTTTGTTCTTCACCAAGTTTAACAGACTGATTTATTCTAGCATGAACTCTGAAAATATCATAGCATCTCATCTCACCATTTTCGTCAAGTTTTGAATTTGTTTTTGGATGTTTGCATTTGTCAGTGGTACGATGAGTGGATGTTTCGCCGTAAGTATATTTACAAACTCTCTCGGCAATAGTTGTCGGGTTGTGACCAAATATAACCGCTCCTTTTAAAACAGCCAAACCTGCCTCTTCTGGAATGATAATCTTCATGTCTGGAAAGTGATCTTGAATATGTTCCTGCAGCATTGGAGACTCAGAAAAGCCACCAACCATAACAATTGCCGAGCAACGGGTGACTGTTGGTTCTTCCAGAAGTGTTTCCACGTGATCGAGAATACTCCGAAGTGGAATAACGAAGAAACTTTTCATTACATCAGCGTCCATCCTAATTTTGTCTCCAGTTAGGACCAAGTTTTCTCTATACCTTGATTTTGCGATACATTCTTTCATAGGTCTATCACATGTTTCGTTTGCTATATCAACAAGTGTAATTGGAATTCTCATAGTGATTTTTGCATTCTTACTTGGCGCTATGTCTCTCTTTTTTATTTCAAAATCTCGGAACATATCTATGTAATCTTCCATGTGATCTTCCTTGAATTTTGCTATGCCTCTTGGACCTTTTAGTGAAGGAAAAATAATGATTTGTCAGCATAATATTAATAATATATATTGCTATCATATCTAATGCAACTCTGCACTAAATGTACCGTGTTTACAGATATGACCCGACAGTTCCGTATATCAAATATGACCCAGAATAACTTTGTTAAATTTATCTAATTACATTATTGCTGTACATACAATTTAAAGGCACATTTTAACTTAGAAACGAAAAAACATTCTTCTTCATATAAAGCAAACATGAGTTTTTAAACGTTTAAATAATGAGTAAGAGCACGTAAACTGCTTACCACCTGAAGAAAGTAGTGTCGAAAGAGAACTTATATGTCATAAAATTAGCAAAATGTAAACAAAGTAGTATTTTGACTTTCATACAAAATATTAAACCACTTAAGCTGCTTTTATTGACAAACAAGAACCGATTGAACTTGGTGATGCTCCTCAAGAAGGTTTTGGACAAAGGAAAATATAAAAAAAATGACCAAAGGGCAAAAACTCCAAAAATTAGGCAAGACAGGGTTATGGTTTTATGCACTGAACTTCTTCTATTCAATGAGATCTATCTGTTTATAAATGTTCGTGATAATATCTCTTATAGTTTCAGAGTTATGTCAAGGATAAAATTCAAAGTGTAAAAATGAACAAAGGGCAATAACTTTTAAATAAGGCAGGGAAGAGTTATGGATCTTTAGCACTGCATTTAACCCAATGAGATCTATCTACCTACAAAGTTTTATGTTGATATCTTTTATAATTTTTCGAGTAATGTTCCGGACAAAGTTAAAAGTGTCAAAATGAACAAAGGGCAATAGCTCCAAAATTAGACAAGACAGAGTTATGTTTTTTAAAAATTTAAAAATGCACTGCTACTCAGGGAGATCTATTTACCTACAAAGTTTCATGTTGATATCTCTTATACTTTAAGAGTAATATCCCGGATAAAGTTCAGTGTAAAAATAAACAAAGGCAATAATTCAAGTATTACGCAAGGCGATTAACAGTTCAGTTCATGTGCACTGCACGCCTACTCAATGAGATCTATCTACCTACAAAGTTTCATGTTGATACCTCTTATAGTTTAAGAGTAATGGCCCGACAAAGTTCAAAGTGTGAAAATAAACAAGGGGCAATAATTCAAAAATAAGGTAAGGCAGAGTTACAGTTCTTGTGCACTGCACGCCTACTCAATGAGATCTATCTGCCTACAAAGTTTCATGTTGTTACATCTTGTTGTTTCAAAATTATGTCCCGTACAAGAAAAGCAGAAGGACGGACGGACAAAACGGCGACTATATAGGTCATTATACCTTAATTTCACGTGTATTTGGCACTAATTGATTTGAAAACATGTCTTTTCTACCACAACAGCTCAAAGTGTGATAATTCCAAACTTAGGCGAAGCAGTATTACTGTTCTTTGCACTGCACTTCTACTCAATGAGATTTATCGACCGACTTACGCGCGACATGTCGTCTCAATATGGTGAACATTTCTGTGAAATAGTTGTAAAATCCGACTTCAAATAACAAAGTTATGGGCCAGACGCGATTATGCTGCAAGGTCATGCTGTGACTTTGACCTTCATGGTAGCGACCAAAATGTTGCGCGCGACGCATCGTCTCAACATGGTGATCATTTCTTTGAAATAGTTGTAAAATCCGTCTTCAAATAACAAAGTTATGGGCCTGACACGATTTCGCTGCAAGGTGATGCTGTGACCTTGACCTTCAAGGTAGCGATTCAAATGTTGCGCGCAACACGTCGTCTCAATATGATGAACATTTCTGTGAAACAATTGTAAAATCCGACCTCTGATAAAAAAAGTTAGCGGCCGGACACGATTTTGCTGCAAGGTCATGATGTGACCTTGACCTTCAATGTAGCTATCCAAATTTGCGCGCGACACGTCGTCTCAATATGGTGATCATTTCTGTGAAAAGGTTGTAAAACCGACTTCAAATAACAAAGTTATGGGCCTGACACGTTTTTCCTGCAAGGTCATGATGTGACCTTGACCTTCAAGGTAGCGACCAAATTGTTGCACGCGACACGTCGTCTCAATATGGTGATCATTTCTGTGAAAAAGTTGTAACATCCGACATCTAATAACAAAGTTATGGGCCGGACACGATTTTGCTGCAAGGTCATACTGTGACCTTGACCTTCAATATAGCTACCCAAATTTGCGCGCGACACGTCGTCTCAATATGGTGATCATTTCTGTGAAAAAGTTAAAAAAACCGACTTCAAATAACAAAGTTATTGGCCAGACACGATTTTGGAACGGACGGACGGACAACCATGCAACTATATGCTCCCCCGAAATTTTTCGGGTAGCATAAAAAGCTGGAACGTCACCATATAACCTATACTGTGTCGGTGTGACGTAAAACCCAATCAAACACACAAACGTTCCAAAGTCATTCAAAATAATTACCACTTGTATCAACACAAATAAACAATTTCACGGTACCTACCAATTATCTCTGACAGAAAGGCTTCGAAAGCTGCATCAACCTTCGTTCCACCCCATGCTCCACCACTTGCCTTGTGAAGTTCTTTCAGATTCCCGTTTCTCAATACTTCATGAACGGTAATGTCTATTGTTCCGCCTTCAATATTTATAAATTGAAAAATATAGAAAATAATATCAACAAGAAAAGACGGCATTCAGTAAACACATCCCCCAATACAGGAACACCGGCAAGGAGCCCAGCAGGACACCAAACAGGACAGAGCGAACGGGCAAAAAACGGAAGGAACGCTACCACAAACCATTCAAAATAGAAAATCATAGAAACCTACAAGGTAACCAAAGATAAAAATTAATTACAAGACCTAGAAAAGGACAAGGTACAGGGAGGAAGGGGCTAGAACGACGGGGTTGGGGGAAATTGAAAAACAAATCTAGAAGAAAGGGGAAATACATGTTTTCAGTGACTTTGTCTTGTTGAGCAACTTTTTTCATATCTGAAATCTTCCTAACAGACTTACTATATTTGTTAATTCTGTTATATTTATAAGCATCTCATTTTATGGCATGAACGTTGTTTAAAAGTGACATTAGGCTAATTTTTTTACTGTCAAGTTGAGTACAATTAGCAATATGTTTCAAACGATTGACTTTTATAATGGAAATTGGCCAATCATTGATAATAAAAAATATTTAGTTTAAAATATAAAAACTATCTATTTTATATATCTAACTGTAACACTCCGTCCGAAATTCATAGAATTGCTCATGAGTCATCTGGATTCTTGATTATTTGTGAATAGTTTCATATAAATTCTATCAAAATTTTGGCAAAATGCAATTTATTTTGATGTTTACCTGTGCTATCATAATTTTTCTTTTGGAGCACAATGCAAAGTGTCATCTTATTTATTCATTTTCGTGAAGAATTTCTATTTATCATGTTCATGCATATACTCGGATCAAATTTTAAACAACATTTGCACAAGAAAGTATATGTATGATATACCGTTGATTTGCACGTGCAATAAATTATTAACAGGTCATTTAAAGACTTTTGGTTTTGTATACTGGTTGTAAACATGGCTGAGTTGCATTCTGATTTGAGAAAGGAGTAAATGGCTTATTGCAAAATTCTTAGGTTATGAGGTAAATGCGCTCAGAAATAAAAACGGATCTAGATTTAGTATGTGGAGGAAGTTAAGGAATGTGTGCCCGTTGGATCCCGCATTTGCTTACTTCTGACCATAAAAGGGAGCGTCTTGAAAATGCAGTCTTACTGCCTACGTTCAAAGATCGAGACTTTAGACGCCTGAGAGAAATTGCGTCATAGGATGAAGCGTTGCTTTATTTTTTTGAGTCCAGCAAAAAAAACAACTCTGTAACAAAATGTGGGTAGGTCAAACCTGATCAACAAGGCACTTATAGTACTGACCTATCTCTTTGCGAATTTTTTGGTTAAATTTATACATCGAATCTTGCCTTAACGGTTGCCGGTTCTAAACTCGTGCATACAAGTGAATAAATAGTATACCCCCCCCCCCCCAAAAAAAAAAAAGTTGCGGAATGGATTCTGAGATACCGTATAAGTGGTTTTTTCTGCGGTGACTTTATTTCTGCGTTTACTGCGGTCAGTTTCGGCACCGCAGAAATAAAAACCGCAGAATATTTCTCTTGCCTGCTACGATATGTCTCCAACATTGTGACCTGTTTCGTCTAAAGTAATAACGACTAACAGATTATAACGGTTAGAGGGTTTGCGAGTTGTATAATATTGCTGACGGCTAAGTATGTAATCTGTGTTTGTAAGGATGTACTTATTGTTAATTATGCTAATTTAAGAATAAAGATATTTCAAACGATTCCAACCCTTATACTGCTAAATAATCGTTGTACACTTTAATTGTCATCTGATTTACGGTTAACGTCTATCAATTTTATTAAATTAAAGATACTACCGGGGTATATTTTTCACACGTCACTTCACGCTGATCAAAGATGTATACCTTTCTATTGTTGCGCATTATACTTGTTTGCAATCAAACAATATAATTGTTTGTAATTACTATACAGTTTTGCGGTGACGACGATAAACAAATGCGAACGTGTACATACAAATATAATAGATAGGGTAATGTGACTTAGACTTTGATAAGACGAGTCGCAGAATTTAAATCACGTTTTGTCCAAAGAATGTACCGCAGAAAAAAAGTCTGCAGAAATAAAAACATGGCGAAACTTGGAAAAACCGCAGAATTTGGAGCCCGCAGAAAAAACCACTTATACGGTAACAGGATAGAACTCTTTACTACTAAAAGATAACTACAACCTTTATTCTTAAATCATTCATAAACATGTTTGAAATAATCCCCTTAGTATATATTTAATCAATATCTATCTATACAATATTATAAAATTTTACCGCCAGCATCCAGTACCAGATATTTCTTCCCTGCTTGAAACTTAGCCAGTGACACTTTGTCCCGCCCAAGACTTTTCTCAACCGGAAGATGTCGGCAAAACAATGAAGCTGCCTCAGGTTCTAGTGCAATAGTTAGTCTCTCCTTCGATATACCAGCCTAAAAATGAACCTCTATTTTTATCAAATACTTAGTATAAACGACTTCTTTACTAGTGTGAAGCAACATATACATTATACTACGATAAAACATATTCTTTGGTGTTCTGTACACAGTGAATTTGCAGTGACCTTTATTTAACAGTAGAAACGAGAACTGACTATCTACACTGTTCTGTATTTGATTATCTTGACGTTTCTGGAAACGAACTAATTAATGAATAGCATATTAACTCTATTTTACGCGTTTGGTGAATTTTACCTATCTTCACCTCTTTTAACTACTTTATACATTTAAATCCTTATGCCCCGGTCACATATTCACGGATAATGCCACGGAAGAGCTACGGTCTAATCGTTCACGGATTACTACGGAAATGTGAAATTCCGTAGTCCGCTACGGTTCCAGTACGGACACACAACGGTATGATTACGGAGTCCGACGGATTTACCACCAAAAGCTCCCGGAGAGACACGGATTGTTACGGACCGACAAGGTTTGATACGGAGCGACACGAATCAGGACGGACGCACTACGGATACACTACAGTCTGCTACGGTATAAGCACGGGTTAGTACGAATAAGTACGGTCTGATACGGAGAAGAACGTATTGATACGGAGAAGAACGAATTGCCACGGATCTATACGGACCTAATACATCCGTCCACAACCTCTTGCTTGCTCATTTTCAAAATGCCTCAAAAGAAAAGAACACCTAGAAAACGAATTGCAGAGTTCAATGATTTTGGCGGAGAGGATTCAGCCTAATCGCGTCCGAACCCTGAGACACATCAGGACCAATTAAAGTGAATTTCTTGAAGGACGTTGGATGCTCAACAAGCTCGGCTATGAGAGCCTCATACTATTCGTAAAAGCCCATCTCTAGTCCACCATCTCGTCTGTCTTCTCTTACCTGATTAGATATGGACTAGTAATCATTAATGAAAATGTTGATCAATACTGCTTCTCTTTTAATTTTAAGATTTGCTGTTCATCTTACAATTACATTAATTATCGTGATGTTTATGTTTTAAAAATATGTAAAAAGCTTGCTAATTAATCTTATTATCACTCAATGGCCAGTGTCCGAAGCTTATGAGACACTTAGTTTTATGTACATATTTACTCCATTTTCACGATTAAACGTTTGTAAAATATGTAACATTAAATGTTATTCTATTTCTTATGAATTGTAGTACGATATTTATATAAATTTACTCCAATGCATGTCATCAAGCAGCTTGACCACTGCCTCCGCATTCTGAGCCATTTCAATATAAAGTTGCAGCCAGTAAATAGCAATTATCATTTTATTAAATGTTCCTGCAAATATATATGTGTGTGTTTTTAACAAGAAGGTAGTATTTATACCCTTGAAAAAAGTACATGATACTTAATTCATCCGTACTAAACAGTGGCGGGCCGTACCCTTCCGTACCGTTTCGTATTGCAACGCAATAAACCGTACAAGACCGTGCTTATCCTTGCCTCTCCGTAGTACAACGTATTACAATCGTGGCTTTCCGTGACAATGACGTATTAATCCGTATTAAAACCGTAGCTTATACGTAGGGTAACCGTACAAATACGTAGTTCTCCGTACCAAACCGTGGAAATCCTTGACAAGTTGGTGGACTACGAATCAGTACGGACTATTACGGTTTTCGTACGGACCAGTACGTATCAGTACGGATTTATACGGTCTAGTAGGGATACGCTACGGTTGATTTTTCCGTAGCAAATTTTTGCGAATGTTCAAAAATTGTCAAGGATCGCTACGGATATACAAGGACTACTACGATTGATTACGGTTACAATACGGAGAGCTACTGACCAGTACGGGTAGCTACGGACGATGCCGGAATTAATCCGTGGCTCTTCCGTGGGCGTATTCCGTGAATATGTGACCGGGGTATTAATCATTTAGAAAATATATAAAAAATATCAAATTAAAAAACTAAATACTTCTTCAGCGGCCTCCCTCATAAACTGCTTGGCGGCATCATTCCAAATTGCTGGAACTGTCAATACCCAATGTATATCACTGCTTCTTATTCCATCATCAGCAATGCGTTTTTGCGACATCTCAAGCAGGTCATCTTTAAGATATTTGATTGACAAAGCAAAAACAGTTTGTGCTTTTAGCTTTTTACCACTTGCATCTTCAATCAGTATATTCCGTTCTATGCCCTAATTAGGAAAAGAAGTTTACTTATTGTTAAAACCTTTTTAGGGAAAATGCATCCTTATATTATTTGTGATGAACGTAATCCATATTATGCATGCAATTGTACTATAAAGTTACTAAGAGGGATTTTTACAAGAACAATATCGACGTTCTGACACACTGTGTAGACCTGGAAATGATGGGCAACAACATCCCCAATTGTGCTTGACGGTCATTAGGCTGATAGCAAGGAAAAAGAGTTAACATGTTGTTATAAAGCGATTGAATGACGCCTACTGTAGTGTTATTAGACATTGATCGGACATTGATGCATCGAATGGGGAAATGGATTAGATTCAGTGATGACTTAGTGACTATTTACGAAGGTTTGTCATAAAATCGCCGTCGTCGTATATTTGCGGAAGCGCTTTGTACCTTATATACAACAAATGTATTGAGTGCCATTTAGTACAAATGTTTATGTACATTTGTATTGGTTTAAGTATCTTATATTTTCTTACTTAACGTTTTGCTTTTAACAATTGTACATACAAAATACAAAAAAAGCAGTTTGATATATTGATTGAACGCCTGTACCACAATGGCAAACTGATGCATTAAATATTCAATATAATGAAAACATTTCAGGGATAAAGTTAACATATAAATGAGCTCACTATTCTACCAAAAAGGCTCATCTTGAAGCGTTTGAAAAAGAACCATTGCTTGTGATGTTTATCTAGAGCCAGCTCCCCATACTTGCTCTCAGCCTCATATCCGAAAGAGTCCAACGTTTTACCGTCCGGGTGAATTAGAGCGCATGTTGGCCCTATGGTAAAAATTAAATATACATATAATGGGAGAGAGAATAAGACAATTTCTTATCCCGGCTGACAATTAAAAGTTATTTTGAATACATAATATCGGACTGTAGAATAGCTCTATTTTATTGAAAGTGACATTATTTCCATCCAAATGTCTGTGGTAAGTGTACAATTAAAAGTCAAAATAACAATTTGTAAGCAGATAATAATAATATTTAAATTTCATAAAATCAACGATGTGACAATAAGATGTTTCATAGAAAAATATCGCTGAACAAAGTTATTCATTTTGTGCTATTTATCATCATACCTTTTTGAAACACAAGGTGGCCACCAGTCCAATTTTTCGCAGATATCTTTGTAGGGTCTCGTTCGAATTCGTGCTTAAAGGAAAACGCCAATCCCGAGTACGTTGTCCCAAAGTCGATAGCCGCAACCAGCAATGAGCTCATCTTTACGTACTTTTATGTAAAAAGAAATACAAATTACTATCCTAAAAATATTGGCAGGATTCGGGCGCTAACTAATGTTAATTACTGTTACATTTTTTCGACTAGACAATGCGGTAGCTAACACTACTGTGACGCCATGAATTTTCTCTAGTCGGACGTTCACCATATGCACATTCTCCCTGGTTCCAAAGATGTGGCTGGCGATTAGCTAAACTAGACATTTGCAGTGCATCGGCTACAACCAAACAATAGTTAACACCCGAACCCTGCCTAAGTAGAAATTCAGGTTGCTAATTGTCCCTTGATAACAATCTAAATGTAATTTTGATGGGTTCAGATATCTCTTATTTTAAAAAACTGTTTGTTGAGATTTTGCAGTGGTACATTTCAATTTAATTTACAATCTCCTATTTTTATCTAATCTAACGATTATCTTGCTACCTATATTATTCGTGCCTCTGATTTAACTTTCTGTACATAGGCTTCAAGTGGGTAGATCTCTTATGGAAGGTATGTTATACCGGGTACTATAGATAATTATATTGATAGTATATTAAGTATCAGACATAACAATAAGCCACGAAATAACTATGTATGTATGTAATCAACATCCTTTTCAAGCAATATTTTATAAGAGTATTCAAATGACATATGTGTTGTGTTTTTATATTTTATGTGAAATAATTATTGGAAATGTGCCCATTGTAGACCAATCCAATTTAAATTAGATGCTTTTATTTAAACGGCTTTACAGTTGTAAATCTACAATGCATTCTTCTGAAATACTCTACAAAGTTTTGTTAGCAAATTTTCACGGTAACTGTATTATACATGTATTGCTTATTCATTTATAAGAAGTAAAAACTGAAGAGCATAATTATTATGTTGTTGAAAACTAAAATTGTGTTTATATTAAGTCACATGAATCTTGATTTCCTTAAGATGCTTACATGTAGTTATAAATAAATGTTATATTCTATTGGATAATCATAAAAAGGCCAATTTCGTTTTTAATGACATTTTATATTAACCACATAGTACTTTATGAGCAGTATGAGATATCCGAGTATACACTACAACAAATTGTTACTGTCCTGGAGTCTTTTAAATATTTTTTTATATTTTAGATGATAAGAAAATTCAATTAAGATATTCAACAACCGCAGCGTTAACCAAGCACGAGGAATGCCTTTGTTCATTGTTAATACATGATTATATACACCTTGCCGTCTCGTTTATATTTATAAAAAGTAAAATCTATACCTGATCGATAACGCTTTACAAAAGCCGTAAATTCATATATAAATCAACTCTTTCTATTTACGTAGCAAGCCATTGAAAGAAAAGACAGATAAAACTAGTGGCCTAAGACTGTTAACATTTATGTTTCCTTTTCTAAATTTGTTTGTGTTCTGTTTTTATTAAATCGTTCATCTGAAGTATTTATGTTATCAAACAAGTGGTATGTATGCCCTGGACTTTTAAAAGTTGCTTGTTAACTTGAACACATAGCAAGATTAAAATGGTTGAATATCAAACATTTACTTATCCTTTTGAATCACATCCTAGTTCTTTACAAAGGTTTAACATTGTTCTTACATATACTGTCTTATGTGAAATGACATAGGCCTTAACTCTTTCACTTATTCATACCTGAAAAAAATATTTGCTGTTTTTCAAATTATATCTAATGTTAAAAGTAAGCAGCAAAGTCTTCACCTATATTATTATACCATCGGATTGTGAGCGGGATCTGTTGTAGTATTAAGAGTAATATTATTTTATCAGTAGGTCCAACATTTTTAAGTTATAGATTCAGAATAGTATGCCCTATTTATTCTGCAATTTTGGTACATTTTTCATGAGCATGATAACGCAAATAAATTATTATGATAAAAATTAAGATGACTTAATTGCCATCATAAGCTTAGAAGATTATTCATCTAGACAATTCAAATTGTCTGTCTCAACTATAACTGAAATAGCCCAAGTAAAAGCTTTCAACAATTTTGCTATTAAAGATGTCCTTTAGGATTTCCGTTTTATCTGTTTTAATGTCATTGTATTATTATACGTAAACTATTTCCTTTGCTCACATTATATTTGTTTCTAGTTTACCGGAACGAAAGAAACAAACAGAAAGTCTCTTGCTCTTGCAAAATAAAACAGGTTCGATCAGAGTATAATTATGAGGATCTAAAATACAAAATATAATAGATATACAGAAAACTTTTTTCTTTCAAAGTGAAATTCTAAATAAATAGCTAACATATTCAGGTATTTTCAGTCAAATGCTTTTTTTAACAATAAATATACTCACATTTCGTCCAAGTTTTAACAACTTCTAACAACTAATTTTCAGTACACAAGATTGAGTTTAATCGAGAGATTTATTTTAAAAAAAACTAATTTGCTTCCTATTCCGATGATCGATAAATTAATAGGACGGATTCCTTGAAAACTATTAACTTCCTTATCGAAGCACCGCTTTTATCATGTTAATAATTTTTTGTCGCTTTGCAAGTGTATCATTCACCTGAAAAATTTTAACTTTCTTTTATCCTTGTGTTTGTTTACTTTGAAACATGTTCAAAGCCGATTATCACTATATGCATACATTATATCTTATACTTGTTCTTGTTTTTTCTTTCTCTTTTTTGAGTTAATCATTGTTTTTACCGGTCGATCATGAGTAATAGGTGTAAACGGAGTACAGGTCATTAAATCACAAAGGCTAAATGTTAAATGATTCGTTTGAGTCAAATTTAATAAACATGATATCAGGTACAACAGTATGTATTTGTTGATGTCGTATACAATTGTTGGTGATCTATATAATTTCTTAAAACACACAAGTCAGTTTACTACATCACACTTAACGAGCAATAAGATATTTTACAGTATAAACTACGAAAGACCGGTATGGCCATTTCAACTTCATGAATTCCCGATTTCATCTTCATGAATTCACAATTTAAACTTCGTGAATTCCCGTTTTCAAAATACGGAATTCAAGAATTCACGATTCAGCTTCATGAATTCACGACTTCAACTTCACGAATTCACGATTTCAACTTCACGAATTCACTATTTCAACTTCATGAATTCACGAATTCACGATTTCAACTTCGTGAATTCACGATTTCAACTTCACGAATTCACGATTTCAACTTCACGAATTCACAATTTCAACTTCACGAATTCAAGTTCGTGAATTCACGATTTCAACTTCACGAATTCACGATTTCAACTTCACGAATTCACGATTTCAACTTCACGAATTCACAATTTCAACTTCACGAATTCACGATTTCAACTTCACGAATTCACGATTTCAACTTCACAAATTCACAATTTCAACTTCACGAATTCACGATTTCAACTTCACGAATTCACGATTTCAACTTCACGAATTCACAATTTCAACTTCACGAATTCACGATTTCATGAAGTTGAAATCGTGAATTCGTGAAGTTGAAATCGTGAATTCATGAAGTTGAAATCGTGAATTCATGAAGTTGAAATCGTGAATTCTTGAAGTTGAAATCGAGAATTCATAAAGCTGAAATCAGGAATTCATGAAGTTGAAATGTCCCTACCAGTCTTTCGTAATAAACGTATACAACTGTTTACTGTCCTGAAGAATTGACTTGTTTATATTTTACATTCAGTATCTCTAAAACAAAGATAATAAACAACCGCAATATTTACAACGAGGAAAAAGGGAAATTTTTTTGGGGTTTATTTTACTACAATTAACCGTAAAAATTATAAAGGAACCTAACGATAAAAGTTTTTTAAAAACCCATAAAAAAAATATAGATCATTCCTTCTATTACTAGCAAGTTTTTGAAAGAGAGGGCAGTAAGACTTTGGGGTAAAATTTTTTGCTAAAATTTCCTGTTTCTATACATGTATGATTTATATTCTGTTTTTGCTTGAATTATAATGTATTATTAATATGTTAAATGTAAACTTTTTAAAAATATGCACTATGATTAAACTATCTAAAAGAGAAATAGGTAACTTTGTTCATTCAAGTCTCAGAAAGATTTCCAAGTAATAATAAAATCGGTTATTTATGTGCTAGCAAAAAAAAATTGCTTGATCATATGAAGACATAACGAGATGAAAATGGTTAAATATTCAACATTAATTTTAGAACAGGAATTCTTTCAGATTATACATATTATGTTTCGGGTTTGTTCTATAACATTTCGGTACTCGTCATTTTTATTCCCATTATATTTCTGTACACAATTTTGTTTCAAATGTTTCGTTTTAAGTTACACTTATTTATAAATATATCATACGTTTATTGTTGTTTGGTATTATTTCTAATATAAAAAGTAGACAGATAAAATCACCTATGTAGTTTTTTACCAATAAATACAAAGGACTGTCAGCAGAATTAGTTTTACTCGAAGTAGTTAGTGTAATATCCTTTTCAGTAGGTCCAACCTGTTTATATTCAGAATATTTTGCAATATTCATTCTACGATTGCCAATACACTTTTCAATAGATAATAACGCAAAATAAATTTAATACTAAATATGTCTTAATTACCATCATAAGGTCAGATGATCCTGCACGTGAAACTCCAAATGGTGAATTCAAACCATAACTGAATAGCCCACGAGCAGGCTTGCAACATTTTATGTTTTTGTTTAAGATGTCCTTTAAAGATTATGAATATTATTGTATGTAACAACACTTAAGTGAAATTTTATATACGAATATAATTATTTTTCTAAATCAATTTCCAAACATCCAAGAACATGTTAATGATGAACTGCTAATGTTTATTCGCATTATAAGCAATCGTTAAAATATATATGCATTCATTTCTTATTGAAAAATTTGGCCTAGGCTGTATCGAAAAATACTTTTTAATTACCTCGCTCTATTTGCATGAAATTTGAATTCGGTAATATCTTTACAAATAATGCTTTCTAGAACATAATAAATTATATATTGATAAATCTTTTCATTTTAGCATCAGATTTATGATATAACAAATAAACAATTGAGTTACAAGATCTTTAAGGTTTCCGTTTAATTTACTTTAATGTAATATTATTATTTGACATTAACTATATGTTTTGCTAACATTGAAGTCGTTTTCACCTTACCGCCCGAATGAACGAACGAAACAAACATAATGGTTCTTGCAAAATGAAAGAGGTTCGATCAGAGTATATGTGGGTTTGCTAAAATTGAAATACGCCACGTTATAACAAAATATGTTATTGTATAAATCATTGTAGAAGTATGATGTAATAGACAGGGAATCGAACGTATAGCGGTGCGATACTTCTTAAAGCGAGATGAAAGCATGCGACACGGAGTAATGACGGATTTATTAGTGTAGTGAGTGTATTTTATTTATTATTTCGTAAATCTTCTATAATAACAATTGCATACTTTGTATTGAAGATGTGAAGACAGGACCAACACACATTTCATCACAATTACAAAGGCTTAAATTCATCATTAAAAGTTATTGAACGTAAACTATCGGCAACTTTTTTGTGTCGGTGAATAAAATCGCTTAAAGCAAGCTTATATTAATATATTTAATTTCCTTTTTCTTCTTTTCTATAAGAATAATCATAATGTACCTTTGTGCTCCGATATACATAGAAGCTTACAGGTCAAACTATTTAAGTGTACGCAGAGCTTTGTTCTGGTAAAATAACTGTACGCCGTTAAAGGTTCGATATATTTTATTATCATATCTGTTTTACTTTACATGTTTTCCTATAATTATAATAACTTACAAATTATGAAACACATGAAGTTATATCTTTCGAAAGAAAATTTCTATATTCTGGGAGCTCGATAATATCCCAATTAGTTTTATTGTTTATTGTTATCTTATTGTTTCACATCCCAACTCAACAACTATTTAAAAGACATAACAAATTTATCATATCTATTACTTTTATGTTTATTTCACTAAAAATCTTTGAAACTGTGGTAATCAGTGATTTTCTGAATGAGAATAATAATTTTTACTCATAATTCAGGTATAAGTATTTCTCCTCACTTATTATGCACCTATCAATGCAAACATGGAAAATTAGAAATTTTCAACAGAAAGAAAATCTAAAATCCTACACAAGTGTCATTATTTCTTTCTGAAAAAGTAAATTCTGTACAAAGACATAACATTTCATATGAAATTTCAAATATCTTAAATAAAGGTATCCCTTATCCTGGTATCCCTACCAGACCTATTGATAGGTGCATAATTCCCCCTTCGGTTTGCACATCATTTGGGCATATAGAATTTCTACAGCTCACATCATTCACATAAGAGGCAACATACAAGTTCTAATTGTTTTTTTAACTCAAACTTGCCACTTAGGCAAGAACATACTAGAGTTCACACACATTTAGAAAGACACTAGCTTGTAAAAGATGTCAACAGAAGCATGTTTAAGGACTCCTTAGTAAAACAGTATATGCCATCAGTCCTTAAATTTATCTTCAATCTGAGACAATGAAAATACATTCCGGTGTTACACAAGGTTCAATATAAGAACCTTTATTATTTCTAATATACAAAAGTGACATAGTTTTCATTGGTAATGATATAAAAAAATTATTTATACGCAGACGATTCGACTCTTTATGAGTTCGGAGGAAATATATCAAAAGTAGAGTGAAACTTCAACATCATTTAAATAACATTGAGAAATGGTGCAAAATCAATAATATGGCCTTAAATCCAGAAAAAATCAAAATCTATGGTGATAGGGATAAGACCAAAAGTAAATATAAGCAGAAAATTGAATCTTAAGAAAAATATATTAGTTCTTGAAAATGTAACTGATCAAAAAGTCCTTGGTATTTGCATAGATAACACCTTTAAATTGCATTTGCAAATGGCAAATAAACTTAACGGAAAATTTTCTTTACTGAAGAAATAAATTTTCTTTACTGAGGAAATAAATTTGCTTTACTGAAGAAATAAATTTTCTTTACTGAAGAAATATCGTGTGTTTTTTTCACTTTGAAATGAAATTATTGCTTAACAATGCATATATTGGCAGGGTCCAGTGGGGCCGGCACTAAGAAATAACTTTAAATATGGTTCGAATCCTAGTCCATGCAAGGCGTCTTAAGCAATGAATATTAAGGAACCAGACCCCAATACCCGAATAAACTAAATGTGATAAATGAGAGACATGAGGAATGAAGTAAAAGCCATGTCATGTAAAGTTTCAACAATATAATTGAAAAATATCTTCAAAAAAATGTGTACATATACATTTCATAAATCGTTTATATCTGTGTCTGTAATCTGTGACTTCTTATAAACATCAGCTTCAGATATGTTGGTCAAGATCTAGGTCATCATTATACTGGATAAAATATATATAAGCACATAGATAAGCATAACTCATCTAAACTGCGCAGACATGAGAGTGTGATGAGTAAAATACTGAGTCTCATATATCACTGCTCAAACATAAGCACGTGCAAAAAAGAGTGAGATGAGATATATAAGCTCATATACCACTGTTCTTACACTAAAAGCCATGCAGAGACATACACAGTGAGAGTGAGATAAGTGAGACACTTATATACCACTGCTCACACATTAAAAGCAACTTTAAGCA